TCATAGGTAAATGGGTTCATTTTGAGGATATACTCCTAAGTGAAATAAATAAGTCACACATATGCAAATACCGAATAGTTTCTCTGGTGTGAAAATCTAAAATAGTACTCAAGATCCTAACAGGATGATTAGCAACGTGAAATAGGAAAAGGACCAAAGGTGTTTTGAAAGTGAGAAGGATAGGGAAAGAGGAATAAGGGAAAAGGAAAACAATATGAGAAAATGTAAAAATGGAATTAAAGTGTTTGAAGTGGGGGAGGGGAGGAGGGGGTGAAGGGAGGGCAGGGACAAGAGGAAAAAATGAGAACCAAGACCTGGCATGTAAAGGTACAAGATCCCAGTAATGAATGTAACTGTACTGTATACCTAAAATGTACCAATAAATTCATTTTAAAAAAAGATATGGACCTTAAATAGGGGAAATTGCAAGACAAGTGGATTGTTGAATACCTGTGTGACTAGGTAAATGTCCTACCCTGGGGAAAGGCTAAATATTAATTCTTCTATCAGAATTCAGATTGAAAACTGTTACCATTGGAATCATGAATGAATAATATATCCAATAGAAGGGAATTTAAGTATTTAGGACAGGTACTAAAATTAGCAGTGAAAAATAGAGAGTGATTAAGGCAAAGAGGAAATAACTGAAATGTGGTAGATGAGGAAAAACAAGGAGCTGGAAAGCGAAACCCCATTTAAAAAAGACGTTGAATTTCTTCTCTTTGGCAAACATCCATATTAAATTATAATAGTGGGCCGGAGATTTAGCTCAGTGGTTGCACCACCTGCTTCACAAGTGCCAGGTCCTGAGTTTGATCCCTGGTACAAAAGACAAACAAACAAGCAAAAGGCCCCCAAAATAGTGGGGTTTTTTTATTAATTAATTTATTTAGTTTTGGTTTTTTTGAGACAGGGTCTCACTATGTAGTTGAGACTGACCTGGAACTCACTTTGTAGCTCAGGCTGGTCTCAAACTCACAGCAATCCTCCTGCCTCAGCCTCCTGAGTGCTGCGATTATAGGTGTGCACCACCATGCCTGGCCAAAATAAATTAGAACAGTAAGGCAAGTTTTAAGGGAAGTTTTATAGGGATGCAGTTATGTATCACACAAGAATTATAATCCAGAGTAGTGGTGGCGAACCTATGGTATGTGTGTTACCTGGTTTTCTTTTGAGACAAGAGATGTTAATGTATGAATTGTTTGTTTCTAAACTAAAACCTCAGCCTTCAGGTTTGATGGCGCTGTGGCATTTTGTGATAAATAAGTGGGATTGGGGTTGCAGTTCAACCACTTGTCTCCAAAAAGTTTGCCATTGCTGACCTAGAATATTTCCACCATCCTAGCAGCCTCTGCCATAATCATCTCCCTGAAAGGTGACCGTTTTTCTGATTTCTGTCATCAGAGAGGTTTTGGAACCTTATGTAGATGAAATCATACAATATGTATTTATGTCTGGCTTCTGTTGCTCAATACTATGTTTATGAGATATATCTTTTCCAATTTGACTCAATGGTTAATTTAAATGTATTACTTAAGGCTAACAAATTTAGAAGTTTCCTAATATTCTTTCTGTTATTGATTTTAGCTTAATCCCACTGAAGCCAGAAAGTATTCTTGGTAGTATTTCAATCCTTTGAAATTCACTGAGTCTTTTTTATGGCCCTAGCATATTTTCCATTTTAGTAAATGTTCCACTACCCTGGGAAAGAATATGTGTTCTGTAATGTTGAGTGCAGTGTTTTAAAAAACATCAGTTAGGTCGAGCTTGCTCCTTATAGCCTTCAGATCTTCTACAAAGCACCTTTAATGCTTTGCCTGCTTGCCCATTCTTTCAATTACTTGGAGAAGTAGTTTAAAATGTTCCCACTATCACCATGAATCTCTTTAGTTCTGCTGGCTTTGTCTTCTTTCTTTACAGATTTGAAAGTTTCTTATCAGTTGGTCACATGAGATTTTTTTCATTATGAAATATATCTATCTTTCGTAGTATTTTCTTAAAACTGACTTCTAATACTGCCACAGGCATACAATTTTCTCTTGGCTGGGCTAGTATTACTGTGACAGCTTTTTCCTACCCTTTGATGCTATTCTACGTCATTCACAGTCATAACTGGGGAAAGTGAGACTTAGGGAAGAGGAACAAGGGGAGCCAGGAGAGGGACAGAAAAGTAAGGGGAGAGGACGGCCAGCGAGCATTGAAACTAAGAAAGGAGAATTTCAGACAGGATGAAAACCGAAGCCCCATCTGGCAGTTTTAGCAGTGGCACCTTGTCAAGAGCTGTAGAGACGTGAGGGCAAATGCAGATGAATGAAAGCTCCTTCCTCTCCGAAGTTAAGCCATCAGTAATATTTATAACTTTTTAATTCATAGAAGATAACATAAGCAGGCTTACAGAAGTAATCAGTGGCAAGAAAATGAAAGCAGAAGATTTTGACATATTATTTATGAAATGTATCTATGGAGAATAATACTTTACTCATATTCTTTTAAAGCAAAATATCCCAAGCTTATAGAAAATACTCTACAAGGTTAAATTTTACCATGGTCACATTATTTGGCCTTTCCAGTAAGCCAGGGATGCATCTGCCTGCTTAGTGGGTACTTTCTGGTTTCCTTTCCAGACCATCACTTTCTACCTCAGTCCTACAGGAAATGCCCAGCCTCACACGGTCCAAGGCAGGCTACAGTCTCTGACCCAGCATCAAGGATGGGGCCCGAGCTACTGGGATGATACTTTGACTCCTCCTCTCCCCAGAGTTGAGACTGTTTTCTGTTTTGCTTCAAGAACACAAATTATATAGTTAAATAAATTCTGATTCAGCCATCCAAAGGAATTACTTGCACCTGCAAAGTAAAATGAACAGAATGAACAAGCTGACCACTGGCCTGGAAAGACGTCTTAGGCAGGGTGGTCCTAAAAATGTAAGGCACAGATGAATGGTACAGAACAGCACCATGCATAGGTGGGTAACTTGCCAAGCTTTCTAAAGGAGGTTACTGTTCGCACCTTCTCCTTCTGAAGAATATCCTCTAAGTGACTCAAAAATCTGCATGTATTTCTGGTGGGGAGAAGTCACTGGACTCATTTGATCTTCTGATTGTTTCTTTAGATAGAAAAAATGTAAAATGTTTGTCTTGTGGTGGGTCCTTTTGCAACGTGGCTACATTCTGCAATGTTTTTCAAAGTAGGGTCATCTTGTGTCTACCTGAATGCGGCTGAAGCGTGTAGGGTGCGTGCAAAATCCCAGAAGGACAACCAGATAGGCTCTTGGAGAAGGTCAGGGGAGTTAGTTTTGGAATGGAGGAGACCTCATCCCAAACAGAAAGCAAAGAGGACATTCTCAGACTAAAGTATATGGGGTGGGAAAGTGTGTGTGTGTGTGTGTGTGTGTGTATGTGGGTGTGAGTGCGTGTGCATTTATCTAGTCCTTAACATGTGCCCAGAACCATTTGCAACTCTAGAGAATGACAAATTAAGTTTCGGTGACTGATACAGAAATTGATATCTAAGCAACAAGTAAGTGGCTCAACACGGTTCGCTTGCCCTAATTGTGGTAACAAAAGTAAGATGGTGGCTCAATAAGTACTTGGCACTGTTGTGGCACCAGAGTCACAGATCTGGGAATTTCTGCTGAGTCTATTGCTTCCGTTCTGCATTTACTGCTGACAGAAGTACGGATCACATCCTTCCTTTCCCTTGTAGAGACTAGGAGGCAGTAGGATATACATATCTATATTCCAATATTGTTTCCCTTACTGTCTTCATGGCCCTTTCACCTGCCCATTAGACACTGTCACTTCCACTATTCAATGACTTGATGTCCAATTACATTCTTGTAAGTGTTTATAACTGCAGGTGTTGAGTTCCTAAGGACCAGCACGCTGTCACCCAATAGCAGCTATGGCTTCTGTTCCCTTCCTTCCTATACCCTGTCAAGTCCAGTGACCGCTAATTTTCATTGCATCTCTCCATTCTCCACTCGTGCTTTCAGTGCTGCTCTCAACATTTCATACATGGATCATGGCTAACAGCCTCTTACTCCCCCAGTCTTCCCTGCCCATTCTGTCCAACCAATGTGCCCGATAGAATGGGCTTATGAAACATGGGTTAAATTGAGCCGCTGCCTTCAAAGAAAAGTAGCAGCAACCACCACCATTGTTCAGTGATTTTCAGCAGCTTTCCAGCGAAGTTCATACTTCTAGGGTCCCTCAGCACCAGAAGCTCTGGCCTTGGCTTACTTTCTGGTCTTAGATTTCACTGCTTCCCGTCCCCCTCGGTGACAGCCACTTCCACCAAATGCCCCACAAGGTCACAGGGCCTGTTCCCTGCCTGCCTATATCTCTGTCCAGTGTTTTCTAATCAGATTAGAATTTCCATTCTTTTTTGCTCAATAACTTCTAGCTGTTTTTAAAAACTTGTCTCACTCCCCCCCAATTTTTTTGCTTTGTTCAATTAAGTGGATACACAAAAAACCAAATTGTGCATATTAATGTGGTGTTGTAACATTCTGATACCTATATACATTGAGAATCAGGTTAGACACATCTATCTTGGCAAACTGCCTACCACGAAAACATTCAAAATCCTTTCTTCCTGCTTTTGGACATAAACAGGATACAACCACTAGCTCTGTCACTCGCCAGTGCAGTAGCGGAGTAGAACTTACTTCTATTTGACTCAGTACCCATTTATCAAACTGTTCTCGTCCCTGCCACCGCACTCTCCCATGCCCCTCGTAGTCGCTCACTCCACTCGGAATTTCCCTGAGAGCAACTCTTTTATATTCCGCCAGTGAGTGAGATCGTGCGGTACTCATTCCTCAGAAACTGTTTCTAAGCGCTGTTATTTATGTCCGACTCTATCCTCAGGTTGGATTTGATACCTCTCCATCTGCTTCCACTGCCTTGATGGCTTGTTTTACTTTCACACTCAGCACACTACACATTCATTGCCCATTTGTGAGAAGAAGTCACTTACCACATTTACACCTGCGGGGGCAATGGTGTATTCAGCCCAGACCTGAGAGAGGCAGCCTTCGGCTTGGGGCTTCTCCACGTGGCAGATCCTTGGAGTAGCAGGCTTGCAACTTGCAGCAATTTTGGTTTTTCTTTTAGTGGTATTTTTTGAGACTAAAAGTAGATAAAGATTGAAAAGTGAAATTGCCTTGTTCCTTAGATATTGGGATATAACATCCATGAATCTTTATGCAGAGGCATAAATTATTTAACTTCGCTATGGTATTTTGACTCCAAAATAACCAGAGTTGTCACTAACAGGTAGAATTCATCTAAGAATAAGATAACCGCTGTTTTTTAAAAGCGTTATTTTTTGTTTAAAACACCATTTTTGATTAGTCACCTGATATTTTAAGAAGTTGTTGCGTGGTTTGCTAGGCCTGGAGTCTCCGGATACACCGAATGATTAATGTAAACTTGGGAAACTTATTTTTTTTTAATCGTCCAAATTTAAGTTGCTTTTAGTCACAGGATTTCTGTAAATACAAACTTATGTCAGAAGAAGCTTTTATTTACTTTTTGACTCAACTCAGCATGTTTATTTGATCTGCAGCGATTGAGCTTACTGGCTGCGTCAGGACCGGGGAGTGTGTTCTCAGGATGCGGAGTAAGCAGCCGGCTTTGATCTGCCCTGAAAGCTGAGATGAGGGTCTGTTTTCCCTGCAGATTCGCCTTCAGAATTCTCTTTGTTTTCTGTTAGGAAAATGCAGTTGTTTGACTATGGAGTCGCTCTGTTAATTTAGGTTTTCCAGACTTCCAGAATTCAAGTTATTATCTTTTCATTTTGTGTGTGTGTGTGCGTGCTTTCAGATGGAAAAGGCAAGGTCATTCCAATCATTGGTAGAAACTTGTGTTGTTGATTTTCTTTCCTGTAGACATTTTGGAGGATATACAAAAGAAGATGTCGACGTTAATAGGTTGAGGGGTGGGGGTCCACAAAACCCCAGTGTATGAATAAATGATTATTTTAACGACTATATTAATTTTTCTGAAACCCAAACAAAAGAAAGAAACCGGTGCATATTTCTTCCTTAGGCAGACTGACTGCGCAGTCTGCCTCGGGGGTCTCCAGCCTCCCACCCGTCTGTCTGCATTTGCTCATCTGCCCACGCTAACGTTTCTCCTTCTCCGTGGTTACCGGCTACTGTGTCCCCCTCCTTTGTGAGCTCATTTTCTGGGTGACTCTCCTCGGTTTACACTCCGTGGAGCTATTCATGCTCTTCAATCCCCGAATTCCTCGCTGCGCTGCCCTGCGCTGCTGGGTGAGCCTGTGCCTGAACTAGTCCAGCAAGGCACCGGTGCCCTCAGCTTCAGCCACCACCCTGGGGCCGGCTCCCGAGCTCGGGGAAGGTCCCCAAGGCGCTGGGTCACGAGCCACTCCGCAGGCTCCGTCCCACCTCGCGGTTAATGCTTAATAGGAGGCATGATAAGAAAAATACAGTGAATGTTTAAATGTTAAAAATGATCGCAGTAGAATATATACACGCACCTTCGGCACACTTGTCCCAGCAGTGTCCCGCCGCTTTCTGAAGCAGCTCCGGAAGTTCTCTTTTGTGAGTGCCTTCAGTTGCCCTGTCATGGCTCCCTTGGCCTGAATGGATTCACACGTTCACTTTTCGTAGTCATTTCGACTTCGGAGAAGAGCCAGAAGTCATGATACCAGATCGGGTGAATAAGGTGAAGGACGACGCACCATGATATTTTTTACCAGCCTGTGTTTCTGTTGGACGGCAGTGAGCCACAGCATTCGCTACATATTTAGCGTCACATTTTGTTAAGACACTCATGAAAGAGGACTTCTGGAACGATTTCAGAAAGTGGTAAGAATGATGGGATGACCGAGTTTGAGAAGAGGGCAAGTATGTTGAGGGGAACTAGCGGCAGTGTGCTTTCTACTGTAATCATTTTTTCAAAAATTGTGGGCTGGAGATTTAGCTCAGTGGTGCCACTGCCTGCCTCACAAGCTCAAGGTCCTGAGTCTGATCCCTGGCACCCCCCCAAAAAAGTCAAACATTTGCCATATATGTTGATCACACCTTGATTCTCGAATAAGTGAGCCTCCTTTCAGATTTGGATCCCTTTAATCAGGGATTTAACAACGACCTGAGATTTTCCTGGTCACCATCACATAAATGCCTTACAAGTTTACACTGAAATTATACTTAGTCTTTTACAACCTGAAAATCATTTTACTCATTAAGAGTGGATGTAAATAATAGGGAATACAAAACACTGCCTTCCACAAAACAGATGTAAAAGATCCTGAGGGATGAAGATCCAATTCTTTCTTTTTTCTCTTTCATTCTCTTCTGGTTTTTGGCCTCAGGCTCCAACATGCTACTGGAGCTCCAGCCATTGCTTCTGTTTTCCAGGCAACTGGATCTGAAAGGGAGAAGGGCTTCACCATTAGGGAAGTTTTCTTTAAGCATTCTGCTCTAGCCTCTAGCCTGATCATCACCAAATGGCCACAGACAGCTGGAGGAGAGGCTAGAAGATGCAGTGTTTAACCAAGTGCATTGCAACCCAGTGAAAATGGACAGAGAACGACTATTGGCTGGCGTTAACATTGTTGGTAAAACTTGAAGAGAATGCAGACTAGGAGTTCAGACTTTCTATCTTTCAAAAACACATTTGTCGTAAGAGGTTTCTCTCCTGTTTCTGACCACATTTTTGCTCTAAACCTCAGTAACAAGCTCATTTTATTAAGTACAAATGTGTATGGACATTTTCATTTTGAAAAACAGCTTTCTTAGCCTGGCTTTGTTTTTGGTTTTGCCACTGACCCTGTGTCCACACTGGCTGTGTTAGCTTCCTCCCATCTACCCCACTTTAAGATTTGCCGTTACTCAACCAGATCAGTGTCCTTGCTGGCTCCCACCCAGGATGAGTCATGGTCACTTTCAGACTTGTAAGTCATGGGGTATGGATATGTTTCTCTTCAGTTTCAAAAAGCTGTCTTCTGTCAGTTTCCAAGAAGTGTCTCTGACTAGTGAGCATTTTTCTTTCCCTGCCAGTTTCATGCCCCTTTTCCCATGGTGCGATCTGTCTGGGATTTCTGTCTCCTTCCACAAGGGGTGGGCATGTGCCCTGGTCTGTTCTCCTCCTGTTCAGTGGCTGATTTAGGGACAGGCAAAGTCTTTTGCTGAGTTCATGGAGGGAGACTGTCTTTCCTCATGAGATGATGGAGGGCCATTTCCAGCATCACAAGAAGAGGTGGGTGGGGCGCCCCAGGCCTTAGAGAAGCTTTCTAAGCACATCTTTCTGGAACATGAGTCTAACATGCCCAATGCTGGTGTTATTCCAGGAACCGAAGACTGGCAGTTGACGATCATGCCCCAATTTGATGACATCATTTCCTTCTTTCCTTTTTTCCTTTCCCCTTCATCCTGTTCTTTGTCCTCTTTTTCTTTTCCCTCCCGTCCTTCATTTTTTTTCATTTTTCCTTATACTTTCATGTGCCATGAGCCTATAAAGTTCCTTTTCATCTTTAAACCATTTTGAATTGAATAAATGCAATTTGTTTCTAAATATGTACTTATCAATTCAATTTGGCAGTGTCTCCTGGCTTTTTATTCATTCTACTGGCCAGCTGTTCTTTCCTTATTTATTGAAGTGTGCAGGTTTTGTTAGGTAGAGATGGCCCTACAAGTAAAATGGGTATGAAGTAGTCCTATAAAAAACCCTGCACTGTCTACTGAGAAATGATCAAGTTCTGTGTGGATTCTGACATAAAGGAATCAGTTTCCATTTGAACTTAATCTCACCAGTTTCTCTGCTGGCTCTCCTTATCTCAGCACAAAGGAAACGGAGACTTGTCCTAACAGGAAACGTGGCTGCATGTTAGAAAAGTAGAGTGAAGCATACATGAATGCATTTTATAGAACAACAAGGAACAGTCATATTTCACAGTGCTTTGAAGAAAATCAAAACTGCTTCAGAAAGCAGTCAATGAAGGCCGAGGAGAATCCTGAGCTCCAAGCCGGCATGGCGTACATAGCAAGACTCTCTCAAAAAACCAAAACAACAACAACACCCTAAATGAACAAAAGACTCCCCAGGCTGAAAACCAAACAACAGTTGATGATGTCTCTGATATTCTTTTTAAATAGAACATACCTTTGATCAGTATGGAAAGCAACTGGGATTTCTCTGAGATTAACAAGTATCCTGAGATCACCTATAACTAGTCATTTAATCCAAAATAGCAAGGGCAAAAAAGAAAGCAAAACTAGTATTTGTTGAGGCCAACTCTGTACTAAGTAGATGCCGGCCTTCTTTCATGTAGAGTTTGAGGCTAAAAAAAGGAGGTGGAGGCACTTTTGAAACTGTGACTGTCAAAGGCATTTATAAATGTAGTGACAGTTTCCATCATGTAGGAAATATTCAATAAATAGAAGTAGCTGTGGCTGTTGAAGATTATAATGAGATCACTATGCGAGAATTGGGCTGGGGAGCCTCTGTGGTTGGGGCTTTGTTAGCCAAACCTGGACCTGATACATAGTAGCCCTTGTGAAAAAAGCCAAACACCTGTGTCACTGTCCCCTCAGGGTAAAATAAACAAATAATCAGATCCTTAAGCAGGGGGCTCAGGTCATCTGCATTTTGATCATATTCCCTAGGAAGCTCTTGAGGCTCATCAAAATGTGAGAATCTTTATTTACAGTGAATCTAAGGGAAGGGATGTTATTGTATTTCGCTAACCCTTAACGTGCCTTGAAAATGATCTAAATTAATTAACATCACTGGACAATTAAGTTCAGAACACATTCATTCTGCCACCTGCCTTGCATGCAAGCACAAGGGCCCGAGTTTGATCCCCAGTACCAAAAAAAAAAAAAAGTTCAGAACATGTTCAATGGCAGTAAAATTATTTTTGATCCTTCAGACTGAAGGATCTGACTGAAACTTTTTTTGCAATCAAAGTCTGATCTCAGTTGGCCATTTACAACTATGTGGCAAACATACTCAATGCGGTCCAAAGCCTGGGAGTTGAAGACTGTGTCCCGATTTAACTTCTTATATCCTTCTTTTCGCTTTTCCTCCCTTTTCCTTTCTTTGCTTCTTCATCTTGTTCTTCACATTCTTTCCCCTTCTTCTTATAATGCAGTACTTGCATGTGGCCGACAGAGGACACTGTGCTGCAAAAAGTCTGGACAGGGAGTATCTAGAAGATAAATTGCTGCTTGAATTCGAGGAAGATAGCTTGAAAGCAGCTATAAATGTTACATACATGAAAGCTTACTGCATTTAATTATGTTGACTTACACCGACCTGTCATGATCACATGGCTCATAAAACAAACTTCATTTTAATAGCTGTGTTTCACGATGTCCCTTTCCTTTATGAGAATTTGATTCTCGCTTTAACGGCCGAACTCCTGAAGATGATCCTCTTCTTAAATAAGATGCACTCTGATACTCAGAGTCGAGTCTCATTAGATTCGAGATTCTTTCTGGGAGCCCTGTTTTATTGGTCTGTTCTACTGTGTAATTTGTTTAGCTGAATTGGTAAACATGTCAGTTTTCCCAGGATAATTAGGTGGATAAACAAAATGTTCAAAAAGAAATGGAGCCCATTAGACTTTTTATCAAAGTCATAACACACAGAAAAAGTCTTTACAAATGGATGGCCTTTTCCTTAGAGATTTGATCCCAAATTAGAGTTCCTGGAATTTACAAGGGACAAAGGAGGCAGCTTTCCTAAATATAACAAAATCTCAGCTACGTGGGGAGGAGAGAAGCTCTCACAAGCCTCCCAATCATGCCTGTGCCAGAACTGCAGTGGGGCAGGCACTCCCGAGAGCATAGTTTTAGTCCCACCTAATCACACCCACTTTTGGAGAAGTCAGCTGGATAAGGATTTCCATAGCTGTGGGTAATTTTCTTGGAACTAGGTCAAAGCAGAGAAGTACTCAACATTTTTATGTTGTTAAATATTCTGCATTGCATGTTGTGGACATTCATGTATTAAATAGACCAAGAGTTCAACAATTATTTGTTCTAATTTTACCAGTTTATTAATAGAGAATTCTTTTGTAAAACTTAT